TTGCTTGGTGAAATTTCGGGGGAAAAGGAGGCATACTTTATAAAGTGCAAACATTAAAAAATATTATTTCAGATATAAGATAATTTTCTCATTAAGTTTTTTATCATTTGAACATAGCAAACTGTCAAGAAGAGTCCTTCCATATTAAAGATTCTGAGATATAGTTATGAAATCAAATCCCACCCAAAGGAAATATGGAGACTGCAAATAAATTAATAACATGTACCTCCTCATAAGGATCATCAAGAATTCCCTCGTACAGCCACGAATCAAGACCCTCCAGGTAAGGGAGCAAACTTTCTGTGAAAATTGCTAACAGCATATGATATGCCTCTTCCTGTAAGAGTAATTACTTAAATTAAATTGTAAATGTTAATAAGGGAACAGAAATATCATGTATATAGAATTATTTTGCAACCTCTCCACCTTGCACAAGACAGGCTTCATTCAATTTCTTGAAAAGATGGTCAAGAATATGAACAGCAATCTCATCAGCAGAGGTAGATGTTTCGGAATCAAAATAAACATTTGGAACTGCTCCATGCACTACTTGAAACAACTGTTCTGCCCCGGAACAGAGACTGCAAAAGTAGTAGGAATGAGGACATTATTTGCATAGATAGGAGGAAGTGAAGTATATATTCACCAAACACATACAATGATGAAAACAAAAATTCCCACTGTTCTCCTTTGCCTTCTCATTGTGCCAAAGATCAATATCATACACAAGTTAGAAAGATAGCACACAGCAATCAGCCAAACATCAATATCATACACAAGTTAGAAAGATAGTACACAGCAATCAGCCAAAAGTACGGTATTGATATTGTCAGCATAAATGATCATAACGTCTTGTGCTGTGTCTACTAATGGACTCCAGTTTACACTTATACCAGTATCGAAATATAACGATATGCTTAGAAATGTAAAAATAAAGGGAAAGAAAAGAAATATATAATGAGTTTAAATTCAAAATATAAACATGAAATGTGGGCCAAACCTTGATACAGTACTGGTTAAACCCAGAAGTGTGATAGAATTCCCATAATCTGAACCGACCAACTTTACTTCCTCCTTTAAAGCAATATCTCGCAACCTCTTTTCATGAAAGAAACTTATTTCATATTTCTTACTACAACAACCACAGTTTGCTGAATTTCACTCCAGATTTTGTACAGACAATACTTACCTTGAGCCACGACTTGACAGAATTACCAAAAGCCTTCAACGTTGGGGATCTTTGACGAGAGGCCTCCACCATCTTTATAAAATTTTCCACTTTCTTTAAGCATGATCCACCAAATGCAAATTGGTTCACAATTCCATGTAGACTTGTATGTGACATATGTGATGTATATATTTCACTCTTTAGATGAAACCCTTGACCATACTCATCCCAATTAAATAAAGAAGTAGAGAATCCTTGGAGCATTTGTAAGACTCCATGCACCTGACAAAACATATAAGATTAGAAGCTATAATGAGAAGATGATTCAGGATTCCTAAGATTGTGAGTCCCCATGAGAAAGGACGTGGTTTAATATGATTCAGTTACCAGTTCTCTTTCACTTTTTTCAAATGCGTGGACTGGCTCTGCATGAGGGAGTCCTTTTGAAATGCTAAAATGGAGCTTACTGATAAAACTTTGAGAAACATCCGTTACTGGTACATCTGTAAAGTAGGAAGAGAAAGCATAATAAAATAAGTGAGAGAGGAAAGGAAAATTTCATCGAAACAAGCTTGCAGTCCCATTAGTATATATAAACAAACATAGACCGATTTCACAAGTTTTCTCATTAAAGTTTTATCAGTGCATCCTTGAAGATCATATCCATCTGGATGGTTGGGTTTTGTGGAAAATAGATACAGAACTTATTGAGGGAAAGAATAAAAAAGACTAAAGAAAACTCAAACTTTGGGTGTAGCATGAAGCCGTTCCTTGAATGCATGCAACATATACCAAATTACCAAGTAACAACAATAGTCAAAATGCTTTAATTCAATGCAGAATACAACTACCCATGTACAATTTGTTTAAAGTAATTAGCAGAATTCAAACCAGAAACACTAGAGACTCTTGACAAATTTTAAATAATAAACGCTGAATAAGTACTAAATACAGAGCATGAGCTCATAGGTATTTGATAGAATTCAAACGATTGAATGCGATACTCACCATGTAAAACAGTGTTCGTCATGTTATACTTGTGCACTGAACCCCGCCACTCATCTAAAGAACATGGCTTCTTCGAAGAGCTTCACGTGCAATGATTACTGTAAAATACAAATGTGCCCATTAAACTGGAGGTTACATCTAAATTCTAAAATAAATAAAAATGACCAATAAACATTCTCAATTCAGAAATTCAGTAAATCATAAATTTCATCAAGAAAACAACTAGTGTGCTCAATCAAGCTTACAAAATAACACATTTAAGAAGAAAACTACTATAGTTAGCGATTTCACCACACTAAACCCTAATTTACAGAAAGAAAGAGAGTAAAATGGGGGCACAACTTAGATTTTGATAAGAACTGGAGCGAATTTCGTTTGAGAGCAGGGCATTAAAGACCTAAGAATGATGAAATTTGAAAAGTGAAGACATTGCTGGCCAAATAACAAATTTCTTTTGCGGGTTGTCGATTGCTTTTTTGGGGGTTTTAGCATGTAACACCCTTTAATTTGTCTGGAAAAGCTAAACGGAGAAGTGAAAACCTAAGAAATTGATAACCAAATAGAACTTGAAGCATACCAGCAAAAAAAAACCCTAAATATTATGTGATTCAGATTAATATTGTCGAAGCTAAGTACAGAAAGAGAAATATCAAGATTAAGACATGCTGGTAGCGAGGATAGCAAACCGGGGCGATTCGGAGGCGATTTTCAGCAAGGCGATTTTTCTCGTTGATCTTAGATTTTCTTCTGGGATCTGAGATATTCAGGAAATCTTCGAGTCTAGGGTTTCTATTTTCAATCTCCATTTTTCGTTTTTCTCGTTGATTTTAGATTTTTCCCGTTTTCTTGTTCTTTTTTGGTCTGTGATGGATTTTTTGGGAATGGATTTGGGTCATGGGCCGAACCCAAAGGAATTCGTGGCCCGCAATATCTGGGGAGAGCGTTATTTTTCTTCTGATTCGAAATTTTCTGAGCCCAATCACTCTCTTCAAACCCAAGGTGAGAAAACTAGGGTTAAGTTTGATGAACTAGGGTTAAAGTTTGCGGTGGGGATTGATCCATCGCGGAGATCCCAAGAAGAACTGAAGGAAGATATTTCTAAAGGGGAATGGGTGAATGTTGTGAAGAGAAACCCTAAATCGCCGCCTCCCCAAAATTCTCTTTCTTCTCCTCGTGTTCTTTCGGCAGAATTCATCAGAAAGAATCATCTGTGTTTTCGTTGTGGAGGATTGAAGCATATGGCGAAAGATTGCAGAGACCCAATTGTCTGCTTCAATTGTCAAGAAACAGGTCATGAAGCAAGAAATTGTAGAGCTTTTGACCGTAATAGTGGTAGATCTGATATCAGAGGTCGTGGTTTTGGTGGAAGAGGATCTTATGATGGTGGTCGTGGTTCTTTTGGGGGTCGAGGATCTGGAGGACGAAATGTTGGGGGTAGAGGCTTTAGAGGAAGAGCTGGACAGATTCTTGGTCGGGGGTCGTTTTACTACTGCTATTTTAAAATTTGAAGGGGAAGTTAATTCTAGTTTTCAGAAGTTTAGAAACTTTGCTATAGTTTCTTTTGTTGAAGGAGGTAATATTTCTCTGGAAAGATTAGAATTGGATTTGAGAGCTTATTTTCCTATGAATAAGCACTGGGATGTGAGGTTGTTTACTAATGGTGAAGTTTTGGTTAAAATTCAACCATGGAAACAAATGGATGATCTGATTAGAATGGGGGTAATCAACTTGAGATCGTGTAAAATTAAATTTAGAAGATGGAGTGCTTGGGAAGGAAATGTGGTAGAAAAAAGAAAAGCATTTGTGTGGATTAAAATGAAAAATGTTCCACCTCATCTGTGGAATAAAGAATCTTTTGATTTGATGGTTAAGCCTTTTGCTGATCTTGTTGAATTGGATTCATTAACAAATGCATGTACAGAGTTTGTGGATGCTGTAATGTTGGTTTGTTGTTTAGAGTATATAGACATTCCTAAAATTTTGAAGGTGGTTGTTGGAAAGAATCAATATAACATTGAAGTTTCTATCATGTCTATTATGGGTGAAGCAAATGAAGGGGTAAAGAAAAAACAAAAGGTGGACCAACTGGATGATACTAACCAAAGTTCTTATCAATATAAATGGTTTAAAGGAAGGAAGGATAGTGGATCTGGTTCTTCTTCTCTGAAAGGATCTGAAACCACTTCATGAAATGTTAAGCAAGACTTGAGGAATAATCCATGGAATTCTCCCGCTGCCAGATTATGGGCTGATGCAAAAGTCTTTTATCAGAATAAAAAATCTGAGTGGGGAACTTGGGGAGAGAAGATATCAATAGATGTTGATGTGGAGCAACAACCAGAACAGGTAGTAACTGATGTGGAAGATTATTTTGAGCAGCTGATTGATATGGGGGTTGAACAACAGTCAGAACAGATAAAGATGAATGATACTGGAGTTCTTCCTGATCAAATAATGGAGTGTGGTGAGGGTAATGGTGAAGAAGTTGAAAAGAATTCCCAATGTGAAAAGGAATCTAATATGACTATTATCATGGAAGATATGACAGATTTCAAAGAGGGAGAGACTTCTTTTAATGAAGAAAGTTCTGCTAAGAATGATAATAGTGAGGCTGATAAATGGATAATTCTTCCAAAGCATTCCAGCATTGAGGAAATCTCAGAGAAGGAAGAGAATATTCCTATTATTCAACCTTTGAACTCTTTACCACCCATGGAATATGAAGTTGTTCCTAATGTTACTTTTGTCAGAAGATGTTCAAGGTTTGTGGATATGGAACCCATGTATGCACTGGATAGGGCTACATCCAGAGTTGCAAAGAAAAATATCTTACAGAATATTCCAGGTGCCTCTGCTAGTGGATCAGGTGAAAACTCTTCTTCTTTGGGCTCTAATTTTGTTCCAATTCTATTTGATGCTTGTTCTAATAAGCAGTTACAAAATTATGCTTCTAAATGTGCCATCATTCTTGAGCCTCAAGGGAATTTTGATCCCCTTGAAAAAGTGAGGCAGATGGAACAGGAGAGAGCTACTTTTGAGTAGGCTCCAGATTTGATTTGAGGAGTTTGTTTTGTTGTCTATGTTAGTTACATGGAATGTAAGAGGATTGGGCTTGAGCTCAAAAAGATTTGGAGTTAAAGATTTTTGTCAAATGAATAAATTTGAAATTATTTGTTTGCAAGAGACAAAGTTAAGTTGTTGTAAACATGTATGATTGGGCTTTTGTACCTTCTAATGGGGCTTCTGGTGGAATTATGGTTGGCTGGAATAACAATGTGTGGAAGAAAAATCAGGAAATTGCTGGTAAACATGTTTTGTCAGTTATGTTAAAAAATAAGAAGAATGGATTTATATGGACCATCTCTTCTGTATATGGTCCTCATTGTAATAAGGAGAGAGTACTTTTTTGGCAAGAACTGAGAGATGTTAAAAACTCCTTTTCTGGACCTTGGGTTGTGGTTGGTGATTTTAATGTCACTATTAATTCTTCAGAAAGGAAAGGAAAAACTAATCACAGAAAAGATATGGAAGATTTTAAAGAAGTGATTAATGAGTTGGAATTAATAGATAGTCCTCTTCATGGAAGAAAGTTTACTTGGACAAATAAAAGAAGATCTCCTTCTATGGCTAGACTTGACAGAGTTTTCTTTAACTCTGAATGGGAAGATTTCTTTCCTTTTTCTAGACAACAAGGTCTTAGTAGCCAGTTATCTGACCATGCTCCTATTAGTTTTGACTGTGGGGAAAATCAACAGCAAGTAAAAATTTTTAGATTTGAAAAAAATTGGTTACAGTCTGATGATTTTATGAAAAGTGTACCTATCTGGTGGAATTGTGCTCCTAAGAGTGAATCTGCTGCTAAAAACATAGTGGGTAAACTAAGATTTATGAGAAAGTGTATCAAACAATGGGTACATTCAAAGTTTTATAGTGTTAAGCAAAAAAAGAAAGATCTGTTGGACAGTCTGTTAGAATGGGATGTTATGGAGGAGAATAGAGATTTAGAGGATGATGAAGTAATTAAAAAAATGAGATTATCATTCAATTAAATGAGACTCTGCTTCAAGAGGAGCAAATGTGGAAACAAAGATCAAAAGCTCATTGGCTTAAAGAAGGGGATAACAATACTGCATATTTTCATAAAATTGCCAATGGTAGGAAGAGGAATAATTTGATTTCTTCCATCATGCATAATGATGTTGAAGTAAGTTCTGAGTTTGGTATAGCTCAGATTTTTTCAGAACATTACAAACAGATATTTGGTCAAAAGGTGTCTCATAGATGTCAGCTAGATTGGAATGGTTTATTCCCTTTTGTTGATTGGAGTCCTAGGGATATTGAAATTCCTTTTTCTGAGGAAGAAATTCATAAAGCCATTTTTGATATGAATGGTGATAAGTCCCCTGGTCCTGATGGTTTTCCTGCTTTGTTTTTCCAAGTCTTTTGGGAGACTGTGAAAAGGGATATTATGAGGCTTTTTGAGGAATTTTATGAAGGTATTTTGAAGATTAACAGAATTAATTATGCTCATATTGTTCTTATTCCAAAGAAAAATGAGGCTAATACTGTTAATGATTTTAGACCTATCAGTCTCCTTAATGTGATTTACAAAATTATTACAAAAGTTTTGACAAATAGATTAAACCCTAAACTTGAGTGGCTTATTGATTCAGTTCAGTCTGGTTTTATTAAGAACAGATTGCTGATTGATGGGGTAGCTGCAGCTCAAGAGATCATTGATGATTGTTTCCAAAATAACAAAAAAGGAGGAATTCTTTTAAAATTAGACTTTTCAAAAGCCTATGATATGTTAGACTGGGATTTTATGTTGGAGGTTTTAAAGGCTAAAAACTTTGGTGAGAAATGGATTAATTGGATGAATATGTGTTTAAAAGGAGGCATGTCTGCTATTAATATCAATGGTAAACCTGGAAGTTGGATTATGTCTAAAAGAGGTGTTCGTCAAGGAGATCCTTTGTCACCACTTCTTTTTGTGTTGGCAGCTGATGCTTTTACCAGAATGTTGTCTTTAGCAGTTAACTCTTATCTTATTGAAGGCTTAAGCCCTATTAATATGGATCATAAAATTGTTTGTTTACAGTATGCTGATGATACATTGATTTTTTGTAAAAATAAAAGAGAACAGTTAATAGTGTTGAAACTGATTTTGTATTGCTTTGAGTTGGCATCAGGGTTAAAGATTAATTTCAATAAGAGTGTTCTTATCACTCTTGAGAATAATGAACCTTTACAAAAGAATTTGGCTATTATGTTGAATTGTAAAAGTGGAAATTTTCCTATTACTTATCTTGGAGTGTCTTTAAGGCCTGGTAAATTGAAGAAAAATGACTGGCTCCCTTTGATTGATAAAATTGAAAGGAGATTATCTTTGTGGAAAGGCAGATCTTTATCTAGAGGAGGTAGACTAGTTTTAATCAACTCAGTTCTATCTTCTATGCCAATTTTCTGGCTTTCTTTTTTTCTTTTTCCTTCATGGATCATTGATAAAATTGATAAAATAAGGAGAAGATTTTTATGGACTGGATCTTTAGACAACAAAAAATGCACTAATTTGGTGAAATGGGAGGAGATATGTAGACCTAGACACTGTGGTGGCTTAGGTATAATAAATTTGAGAATCATGAATAAAGCTCTTTTAGGTAAATGGCTTTGGAAATGGTTTGATGGAAGGCCTGACATTTGGAAACAAATTAGTTTTTACAAATATTTTGAAAAGAAAAGCTGGACAGATTATATTCATTTTGGGAGAAAACTTCTATCATGCTTTTGGAGAAATTTTAGTGTTAATTTTGAAAGTTTTCTATGCAGTTCTCAGGTGGAAGTTGGA